AACTGGAGTAGTTATGACAACAGTTTGATATTCCTTTGCTAGCACATGTCCTTTATCTCTTAGCATATACTGTGATTATGACGTGTGGGCTCTTGGAAATGCCATATGTCTGTGTTTCTGTAGTTATTTGTATTAAGTGCTCCACATTTGTTTTTCAACATGGGCAATCCATAATCAGCTTGGTTGTTATAAGTGTAATATAATTTATCTTTGCTTAATTTGTATCTGATTCCACTGTTTGATTCCTCCCTAGATTTGCGTCTAGTTTAAACATTACATGGAATATTTTTCAGCAGTCTGGTAGGCAACGATGATATCAATGTAAGAGGTTATCTTAGCTTGTTAGTGTGTGCTTAGTGAACTATATGAGCTCTCTTTATTGCATCTTGTATGCTCATACATTAGCATGAAATAGTATTGCTCATACAGTACATGGAATATTTATGAGCATAGTTTTGGTGCCATATCCATTTCACACATGGCATCTGCCATTGTAACTTCATGCTGATGTAACATGTGAATCTGTTAGTCCTTCTTATTGTCTTTAAAGAAGTCAATGTACCTACCTATTTTTATGCTCTGTTATTATCTTTGATCAGTGTCAGTTGTGTCTCTTAGAGATACACTCCTACCTTTTCTGACTTGAGTTGTTAACTATTGTTCCATACTTCTGTTAGTTATAACAAAAAATCTTTGAATTTGGTACTGCATGAGTTTTTACTACTGCTAACAGGGAGTATTTGCTACTACTAAAACAGCGATTTTGTATGCACTGCTACCTTGGGCATGCTTGTGGCGCTGGTGCTTGGCCTCAACATGTCCTGGAGTGCCATTAGCGCCGCCCTCACGCTCATCTTCCTCGACTTCAAGGACGCTCGCCCCTGCCTCAAGAAGGTAATTGTCTGTCCATCCGTCTGCAGTTAACTAAGTTGTGCCCCATTGATGTCCTACTACTGTTAATTGTTACTACCATGGTGCTGATGCTGTTCAGAATATGATATGTGCCTTAATTCTAAGTTCTGGTCTCTCTTAAGAGACACTTCTAGCTTTTCTGACTCAAAGTTGTTAACTTGGTACTGCATGAGTTTTACTACTGCTAGCACAGGGAGTATTTACTACTGCCAACACAGAGATTTTGTATGCATGCTACCTGATGAGTGCTTTCTTTGTAATATTTCACCTTCATATGCATAGGTTTATTCGGTTTGAATTCTGCATGACATGAAATAGATATTTACAGTGTTTTTCTCAACTTGTTTTCACTGTCACTTGATATATGGGTTAATGTTGGTGGTTTTGTTCTACTTGGATGCATTGGTACCCATCATTGAGCGAATGGATGCAACAGCGGCAAGAAGCTCATGGCTGTGTGCATCTAAAGCACACCATGGACACCATCCACTTCCTCATCAATGCTAACTCAATCCAGATCATCGTCGACACTATCATCCACAGGTATCTTCCTTGGTTCCCTTTATTCACTCTTGCCTTTATGATGTTAGTTTGCGTGTGCTGACGAGTATTGTTAGATCTTGCCAGTTGAATGTATGATCGTGATAGTAGAATGGTATTTTGTTTTAGGCGCAATGTGTTGTAGTGCAGTTTTTTGCACAACCTACATATGTGCCATGCATATTCATATTGTGTCTCTGTTTCTTATATGAACTACTATCTCATTTTAACTAGCTCGACAACAAAAAGCATGGTACTAGCTGAAAAATTTGTGTTATCGTTCTAAATACATGTCCTTTTCTTGAATGGTCTGTTCATAATATATTTGCCCCAGTTTTTCTCATTCTTCTCTGATTCATGTAACAGGATGACAGATGAAGCCATGTTGCTGTTTTGTTTGGTCTCAGCCCTGACTATCGCCGTCGAGCGAGTCCGGCATGTTGTTCATCTGACTATGGTTCCAGCCCTGACTACCGAAGTTTTTGTCCTGTTGAAGTTGCATAGAAATATGAGAGAGTCCAGCGAGTCCCGGATCTTGGGAAGTAGTACTATATTACACTTGTAGAGCTTGTAAAGTATTGTATTATACATGGCCCTTTGTAATGGCACGGATAGAGCTTTATTATGTGATCTGGTTGCACTTGTTTAAGTATTATGTGTGTTTTTTGTCTCTGCCAATCTAAATACTGCTTGAAATATGAAGAATATGAGTCTGATAGATGGGACCCACTTACCTAACAAATGGAAACCTGTTACCAGAACCTAACAATTGGGACCCATCTGACTAGTGGACCCATTTAGTAAAAAAAGAAATGAAATTGTTCAGCCAAAATGGCCGCGGCCCAACAATAAAAAAGGCTGCCATATTGGGCTTGGCCCATGATCCCGACCAAAAATTAATGGAAAAAAACATTAAAAAGGCCGAATTGTTGGGCTCGGCCCATCTAAAACACCAAATTGGACCGGGCTGAATCTTGTCAGTGACCTTTTCAATTGGTCGCAATTTTGCCACGTCAGATTGCCACGTCGGATCCGACGTGGCCTAGGCAGACAACCAGTGACCAAAACAAAAGGTCATGGGTTCAACGACCTTCTGTTTTGGTCGTAAACGTCTACGACCTTCTCACAGAGAAGGTCGCTATAGTCAGTTAACGACCCTCAGCTTTTGACCTTATGTTTTTGGTCACAAAAAGGTCACAAATTGAAAACTATGACCTTTCAGTGACCAATAGTGGAGGTCACTAGTTGACATATTTCTTGTAGTGGATGGCTCCAGCATCGTTGTCCGCTCGTTGGCGACGCAACCTTCACCGTGGTCATCCATGGAGGCTCGTTGGCACGGCTCGGCATGGTGCCCCCGGCATGGTCCCAGCACCTCCGCCGCGGCGGCCCGATACAGTCCCGTTACCTCCGTCGCGGGAGCATCTGTGCACCACGGAGCATGTAAGAGGCCCAAAATACAGTAGGGGATGGGCCTGCGGCGCAAAGGGAGAAGCGGGAGAGAGGTTGCTGGTCAACGGCGGGGCGCGGGGCTCGAGCTCACCGGGCGGTGGTGGTTCGCCGGGGAGTGAGAAGGAAGAAAGAAGGATCTGGGAGAGGGCGCAGGACGCAGATTTGCTTCGATCCAACGCGTCGTGTGCGTCCGGCGCAACGGTTTGGCCGGCGCCCCGGGTGTAAACATTTCCCTATAGTTAATTAAGTTTTGGTTAGCTAGAGCGTAAACATTTCCCTATAATCATTTTGCCAGCACAACGTAAGCCTCGATCTTCGCTTCATTTCGTTTATTCAAGACGGTGAGATGATTGACGTCACTGCCTACGCAATTGAACCCGGTGTGGTTCGTCTCTCAAGAGTAGACAATGGACTGGTCGGACGGAAGGGTGCAATCATGCAGTACAATTTCAATTTATTTTGCTATCGACATCTCATTGTATATATGCAGCTAAGAAAAATATAGCTTCCAGTTCCATCGTTTGGAAGCAAGAAAATATTCATGCACATGTAGCATAGCGTCACCGATTCTTTTTTATTGAGGGAAGCGTCACCACCGATATATATGATGGAATACGTATAATAAGTTAGGGCTAGATCTCAGTCGACTGAGATTTATTCAAATCTCAGTCAAGTGACATAGGAAAAAAAATTCACAAACCTCAATATAGGATCTCATGGATATAGCATCTACGGGTCTCAGTCGATTAATACTTAGCAAAACTGAATAATAATAAGAGGTGTTTGTTTTGAGGGACTTTTTGGTGCAGGGACTAGAAAAAGTCTCTCTTGAAGACTTTTTAACTAAACAGGAGGGACTATTAGGGTATAGAAGTTGCTTTTTGGGACTAAATTAAGAAGACTCTCAACGAGAGTCTTTTTTGAGACTTTTCCAATAATGCCCCTCCCTATACCCATTGTCCCGCTGTTCCATGGTGTTGTTTGGTTATTATTTTTTTATATAATAAGGGTAACACGATCATTTAATAACCTCTAGGGAGAGATTTTTTAGGGACCGGGGACTTTTTATTTGGGACTAAAAAAATTCTAAGACTTATAAACCAAACAGAGCCTAAGTTAAATAACGGGGCTACAGCTAATTAAGGGCTAACCTTGTTAGGTGAGCCTTGATATTATGCCCTGAAATTTTAATTTCAGAGCCATCAACCATTGACCAAATACTCCAGTGCGATTCCCCTCTACTACAAATGCCCCCGTCCGCTTCCGTCTGACTCCACCTGCAGAGACCGTCTGTTCCTGCTAGAATGGCGCGCCTCGCCACCCTCGCCGTGCTCCTCCTCTCCCTCCTGGCCGTCGCTAGCTGCCGCGTCCTTGAGACCATCTCCGACGACCAGGGCCCACCCAACGTCGTCCTCCTCACTCAAGATGATCAGGCGGATTCTGCTGTTGCTGAGGTGACCCTTCCGGCTTTGCCCACCACGGCCGTCGCCGTGGACGAGGACGTGCTCCGGCTCCCCTCCCATCGTCGCCCCTGCCACCTCCACCGTCACCTCTGGTGGGCGCGCCACCACGGCCTCTCCCACCACCGCGGCTCGTTTTCCGGTCCGGGCGAGGCTCGCGTCCATCCCGCCGTCGACGTCGTCGTGCCCACCGAGCTTGCCCGCGGGGAAGAGCAAGAGCCTAGTGTGCCGGAGCTGGAGGCGGTCGCGGAGCCCGACCCCGACTCACGCCCGGACACCGACGCCTCAGAGAAGCTGTTTCATGGCGTGCAGGAGCGAGAGGCAGCGAAGGCGTGGAAGGTGGAGATGCTAAGGAGGTTCCGCCACGGCATTCGTTTCCACCACCGTCACCATCTTCGCCACCGCCAGGAGCAGGACGGGGAGGAGCACGACGACCACGAGCAGGACAAGGATGAAGGCACGGACATGAATCTGTTCGGGCGCTTCCACCACCGCCACCATCTTCGACACCACCACGAGCAGGACGTGGAGGAGGAGGACGACCACAAGGAGGACAAGGACGAAGGCCCGAAGATGAAGCTCTTCCGACGTTTCCATCACCACCACGCGCACGACAACGAGAACGAGGTCGACGAGGTGGAAGAACTGGCTAGGAAGCTGAGCCAGGCGATCATGAGAAGGAGCTTCAGCCATGGCAGCCGCCGCTACCAGCACCACCACCACGGCGCGGAGGGCGGGGTGAAGAAGTGGTTCAAGGGCCTCGTGAACCGATTCTAGACGTATAGCCGGCCGGCGGCTGGTCGATTTGGTCGTTTAATTACTTTGGTAATCTGTTCGCTGCACTGTGTGCGTGATGTGGAGTGCTCTGCCATTTCGTACTGCTGTGTTAGTTTACTCGTGAGGGTTGGGAGATTGTACGAGCAGCAATGTTATGTGTTCTTCCGCAGATTAAGTAATAAAATTATCTTGTTATGCATGTATATATATGTGCAATATTATTGTTATCTCGTATGTGACCGTTTTCATCGATCTCTGCTTTCCCCCTCGCGTTTGCATAGTTTCCCATGTTCCTTCTGTTACAAGTTCTCAATTGTAGTGTTTAGAGTCGCACAGAGCTAAAATTTCAGCAAAAATTTGACTTCTGAGATTTCGGTGGGCGCCGAAATATTTGTAAGTTTGCAATTTCGAGCCAGATTTAAACTAATTTTAGACCAAATTTAAAGCAGGTCAATTTTTTTAATAATCCGGTGAAGTTGATGGATGAAAATCCAGATTTTTCCCCCTAAAATTTTGGTGAGGTCAAAATTGTTATGTTAACATTCTCGAAAAATATTGTTGTGTTAACAAAATATTAAACCATCTTTGCTGCTTGGGAACTCAAACTCTTGCAACCTTGGTGTTGTTCTTATTTTTCTTTTGCATGGGAGACGATTTGCCCTTTCATTTTAGGGCACAAACATTTTTTTCCTTATACAAGCACACAACTATCTTTACTAGAAGAACTCCCGTGCGTTGCAACGGGGTCACATTAACTTTAAGAGTTCAATATTACGACATTGACGACATTTTTTACCATCAAATCCTCACACACACTCTCTCCTCCCTCCCTCTTCCTCACTCTCTCTCCATCTCTCTCTCTAACACACACATAGACACACAAACACACACACACATAGCCTATTCTCCCCATCAATAAGACTTACTCAATTGGCAATAATGTGTGGACTTGTGGTGAGCTTGACTGAACTAATGGATAGTGTGATATATTCCCCAATCATTTAACAATGAAATTTCAGAAATGGGAAGATTATGTAACACCTCAAGTCGTTAGCTAGAGTAACCTCCCCCTAATGATGCCATGTCATCAGGCTTGCTAAGCCAAACTGCCACTTGATAAAAATCAAAGCCCAATTCAAATTTAAAATAAAGTCAAATAAATTATTTCGTCAAACAGTAAAACTAAAATGTTCACCATATTCTATAAATTCCACTGATCTTTGACATGTTGAGCCCAACATTATTTGACCCAAAAAATAAATCTTGTCAAATTAATAAGAGGTCCAATAGTAGTTAAAATAATCAATTAAATATAAACCAAATTTTATGTATTTCCTTTTGGCCCCAAACTTATTGTGCCACCTAAAAATGTTGTGCTCAAATTGTGTGCATAGTTTCACAATTAAAAAAATTCATTTAGTTGATATAAGAATAAATAGAAAACAGTGTTAAAAAAGGAGAAATGAATTAGAATACATTAAAAACCAAAAGGACGATGAAAAAGGGGATTCCCCCTACCCCCGGGCCTTGCCACCGAACCGGCCCAGTGGTCCAGACCCCGCACGGTCATCTTCTCCTGTTCCCCAAGCCCGTCGCTACAGAGCCGGGCTCCCGCCCGACCACCTCGCCGGCATCGAAGGGGAATGGATAAGGGTGACGCCCTGCCTCCCCTGCCCCCATGGCCTCACTTCTCCTCGACGCCCCTCCCAGATCCACTTCTCCTCCTCGCTCGCTCGATCCCGGTGATCTGGACGAAGTCAGATGCCACGGCCACCACTGCCCTCCCTGCTGGCTAGGAGCTTGTCGAGGAGCTCTGAATGCCTCCGCTACTTCGTCTGCGCCAATGAGATCAAGTCCAGCACCCCCAGATCGACGTCGTTGCCGTCTTCCTCAACCTTCGGCCACCGCGACATTGTCGTTCGATCCGCGCCGCCCTAAGCTCTCCTGTCTTCCCCTAGGGTGCCATTGACACAGCCGTGATCTCCTCTTGCCTTTCCCCAGTTTCCCCTCTCGTTTGCTCTCGTTAGGTATTTCGCCGTGGCCGAGAACCGCCGTCCGCCATGGCCATTGCAGGGATAGCCACTGAGCTCCTCGGATTGACCCTGTGGCACATGCCCGCTCCTATGTGCGCCCATGCCCGAGCCTTCAGCTCTTCTTCCGCACCCGTGATGTCTACTACACAACCTTCTTCTTGTAGACATTGTTGGGCCTGAAAGTGCACAGGTTTGTAGGACAGTAGCAAATTTCCCTCAAGTGGATGACCTAAGGTTTGTCAATCCGTAGCAGGCGTAGGATAAAGATGGTCTCTCTCAAACAACCCTGCAACCAAATAACAAAGAGTCTATTGTGTTCCCAACACACCTAATACAATGGTAGATTGTATAGGTGCACTAGTTCGGCGAAGAGATGGTGATACAAGTGCAAAATAGAAAGTAGAAATAGGTATTTGTAATCTGAAATAATAAAAACAGCAAGGTAACTAATGATAAAAGTGAGCGTAAACGGTATTGCAATGATAGGAAACAAGGCCTAGGGTTTATACTTTCACTAGTGCAAGTTCTCTCAACAATAATAACATAGATAGATCATATAACAATCCCTAAACATGCAACAAAGAGTCACTCCAAAGCCACTAATAGCGGAGAACAAACGTAGAGATTATGGTAGGGTACGAAACCACCTCAAAGTTATTCTTTCGGATCGATCTATTAAAGAGTTCGTACTAGAATAACACCTTAAGACACAAATCAACCAACACCCTAATGTCACCTAGATACTCCATTGTCACCTCAAGTATCCGTGGGCATGATTATACGATATGCATCACACAATCTCAGATTCATCCAACCAACACAAAGTACTTCAAAGAGTACCCCAAAGTTTCTACCGGAGAGTCAAGAACATGTGCCAACCCCTATGCATAGGTTTATGGGCGGAACCCGCAAGTTGGTCACCAAAACATACATCAAGTGGCACATGATATCCCATTGTCACCACAGATAAGCACGGCAAGACATACATCAAGTGTTCTCATAAAGGACTCAATCCAATAAGATAACTTCAAAGGGGAAACTCAATTCATCACAAGAGAGTAGAGGGGGAGAAGCATCATAAGATCCAACTACAATAGCAAAGCTCGGGATACATCAAGATCGTGCCATAGAGGGAACACGAGAGAGAACATGAGAGAGAGAGAGATCAAATACATAGCTATTGGTACATACCCTCAGCCTCGAGGGTGAACTACTCCCTCCTCGTCATGGATGGCGCTGGAATGATGAAGATCGCCACCGTTGATGGGATCCCCCTCCGACAAGGTGCCGGAACGGGCTCCCGAGAGGTTTTTGGTGGCTACAGAGGCTTGCGGCGGGGGAACTCCCGATCTATCTTGATATTCGATGGTTTTAGGGTACGTAAGCTTATATAGGCGAAAGAAGTCGGTCGAGGGGTGCTTGAGGGGTCCACGAGACAGGGGGCGCGCCCAGTAGGGGGGGGGCGCCCTCCTATCTCGTGGCCTCCTCGAGGCTCTTCTGACGTGAACTCCAAGTCTCCTGGGTGATATTCTTCCCAAAAATAACGTTGCCGAAGGTTTCATTCCGTTTGGACTTCGTTTGATATTCCTTTTCTTCTAAATACTGAAACAGGCAATAAAATAGCAATATGGGTTGGGCCTCCGGTTAATAGGTTAGTCCCAAAAGTAATATAAAAGTGTATAATAAAGCCCATAATCATTCAAAACAGATAATAATATAGCATGAATGCTTCATAAATTATAGATACGTTGGAGACGTATCAGCATCCCCAAGCTTAATTCCTACTCGTCCTCGAGTAGGTAAATGATAAAGAAAGAATTTATGAAGTGTGAATGCTAGAGGTGCACAAGTTTGATCAATGGTAATTTCAATCACCTTTACTAGCATCATTATATGTCATAACAGTAGTTCATCTGATAAAACTTTTCATGATCAAGTAACAAGCAATTCACATGTCAAAGCATAGACCATAAACATTCTTGAAAACTAGCAAACTTCATTCTTAGTCATCAAACAATTGCAATTCATCCTATTTTCAGGAAGGGTCTATGTCAGAGCTTTGATTTAGCAAACTTCACATACTCAACTATCATATAGTATTCTACAATTGCTAACACTCACGCAATACTTGTGGTTATGAAGTTTTAATCAGACACAGAGAAAGATTGGGACTTATAATGTTGCCTCCAAACGTATTCACCTTTCGATGATGTCAACAATAATAGTTCATGCTAACGTACATCCAATTGGATATATATATCAGGATCACCCTAACACAAAGTGCTTGCCAAAGGACAAAATGAAAAAGGGAAAGGTGAAGATCACCTTGACTCTTGCAAAAAGTAAAAGACATAAAGTAAAAGATAGGCCCTTCGCAGAGGGAAGCAGAGGTTGTCAAGCGCTTTTAGGGTTGGATACACAAAATCTTAATGCGAAAGAACGTCACTTTATATTGCCCCTTATATATGGACCTTTATTATGCAGTCCGTTGCTTTTATTGCTTCCATAACAAGTTCGTACAAAGCTTATTTTCTCCACACTAATAAGTCATGCATATTTAGAGAGCAATTTCTATTGCTTGCACGGATGACAACTTACTTGAAGGATCTTACTCAATCCATAGGTAGATATGGTGGACTCTCATGACAAAACTGGGTTTAAGGATATTTGGAAGCACAAGTAGTATCTCTATTTGGTGCTAGGAATTTTTGGCTAGCACGAGGGGGAAAGGCAAGCTCAACATGTTTTAATGATCCATGACAATATACTTTAACTGAGATGTGAGAAAACATAACCCATTACGTTGTCTTCCTTGTTCAACATCAACTCTTTAGCATGTCATACTTGATGAGTGCTTACAATTATAAAATATGTCTATGATAATATATTTATATGTAAAATCTCTCTTCCTTCAATATTCTTTCATGAATTGTTCAAATGACCAATACAATGCTTGCTAACCTTCAA